CAAAAAAAAAAAAAAAAGGCCGGGCGCGGTGGCTCACGCCTGTAATCCTAGCATTCTGGGAGGCTGAGGCGGGCGGATTGCTTGAGGTCAGGAGTTCGAAACCAGCCTGAGCAAGAGCGAGACCCCGTCTCTTTATTAACTGGCCAACTAATATATATAGAAAAAAATTAGCCGGACATGGTGGTGCATGCCTGTAGTCCCAGCTACTCGGGAGGCTGAGGCAGCAGGATCACTTGAGCCCAGGAGTTTGAGGTTGCTGTGAGCTAGGCTGATGCCACGGCACTCACTCTAGCCTGGGAAACAAAGCGAGACTCTGTCAAAAAAAAAAAAAAAGAAAGATAGAAACTGTCCAAACAAGTAGTTCTCAACCATGGGTGATTTTTCCCTCCAGGGTACAATTGACAATGTCTGGAGACATTTCCAAGGCTCATAACCAGAGTAGGTCTTCCTAGCAACTAGTGGGCAGAGGCCAGCCCAAAAAGTTAGTAGTGCTCAAGCAGGAAAACCCTACTCTAGACCCAGACTGTCCACATGGTCAGCTCAGATCAGTCATTCCCACTCAGTGATCAGTCCTTTGTTCTTGGAAATAATGGGATCAGTCTTGCCTATGGATCTCCAATTCCAACATGAAACAGAACACGTTCTCCAGGATATACAGTGAATACCATAAAAAGTGGAAGAAAGTGGTATAGAGAGAATGCTGTCACTTAGAGGCTAAGGGAGTCGAAGAGGTCTCCCGTCACTTATATCATGCTCCAGCATCTAGTGACGTGGATACAAACCCATTTCTCTCTTTTCGGATTCATCTTCTTCTTCTTCCAGACATGTGTAAAGTGTTTTGGAAATCAATGTGTACTCTGAAAATAAGAACAGTGGGCTTATTAGAGCGGTATTCCTGAAATATACACCAGGAAGACATCTAAGAGGGTTCATAGTTCAACTTTGGGGTCTTAGTCTGTTCCTGCTGCTATAACAAAATACCTGAGACTGGGCAGTCCATAAAGAACAGAAGTTTTCTCACTGTTCCGTAAGATGGAAAGTGTAAGATCCATGTAGGACCCTGGTGCAGCAGTGTCTTTGAGATTCTGATTTCACACGCAGATCAGTTTGAAATCCAGTGCCCCAGCACAGCGATGGGCAAACTATGGCCCACAGTCCAGGTTTGGTCTGCCTCTTGTTTTTGCAAATAAAATTGTACTGGAACAAGGTCACACCCATTCACTTATTACTATCAAAGGCTGCTTTCACAATATAACCAACAGCAGAACCGTGTCGTTGTGAAGAGACCCAAGGGTCTACTGTTTATGATCAGAACCTTTACAGAAAAAAAGTTGCCAACTCCTGCTTAGGAGGAAATGCTGTGTTGAACAGTTTTTCTTTTAGTGTGATAGAATTGGGTGAGTTTTTTCTTCTATCAGGGAAAGGAATGCTGATTTAGCGGGTAGCAGTCTGGAACTCTAAGATTCCTCAAGGGCATTAAACATACAATTCGTGGGAAAAAGAACAAATGGGAATATTCACATAGTTTGGGAGACTAAGGAGACCCTACTAGTAAATGCACTGTGGGATCCTGGATTGGATCTGGTGACACACAGGGTGTTAGTGGAAACAAATGCAAAAAGTGAAAGCCAAGTAGTCTTCAGTTAAGGGTCATATCAGTGTCTATTTCTTAGTTTTGTCAAATGTAAGATGTTAACATTAAGGGATGCTGGGTGAAGCGTATATGGGAATTCCTTGAATGGTCTTTGCAACTTTTCTACTAACCTAAAGTTATCCCAGAACAAAAAAATTTTTAAAAGAGCTGAAAAAAATATATATATTTAAAAATGATGTCATGGATAAACTAAAATCATGAACATCTGTGCACTATCATAGGCATTAGCTAACAAAAGGACACCGGGTGGCAGAGGTCAGGGTAGACAGAAGGGGAGAAACAGAAACACGCAGAGTCCACAAACGGGGCTGGTCCTCACCACCCACACATATAGACATCTAGGAGGTATTCCAAGCACACAGAAGATTAGGAGTTTCAATAATATTCCTGAGGTTTCTAAACCCCTGGGGACTCATTCTTTGTTGCAGATGACTGATATATGCTGGGTTCTACTTACCCGGGATTTGAGCCTTTGCCCTCCTGGATAATTGTGTGAGATTCATCTTCTCCAAGATGTTCACGGTCACACTCCTTATCCAATATTTTGGGGATTTGTCGATCAGAATTTCTGCCAGTTTCTTGCCGTTGGCCTCTTCTAGCTCGGACCATGGGGTCATCCTTAGCTTACCTTGTAGCGGAAGATTCTTTAATAGAGATTTGAACCGCCTTAATTCATCCTCGCTCAGCTGCTCCAGAAGGGTTTCCAGGCTAAACTCTGGTGGTATACATGCCATAGCGCCCAAGTATGAGACCTTAAGACCGAGGAATTGGGGCGGGGAGAGAAATTCATGAACCAGCATCCTTAAATGAAACAGTTTATGAGCCAAGAACAGGCCTGTTCTCACTGCCCCACTAACAGTAAATTATATAGGCTGAATTAACAGAAAACATGAACAGACCCAGCATAAGGAGAATGAGTCCGGAATCAGAAATCCCAAGAAAAGCCCAAGACTTGATAGCTTTACTGCTGAATTAATTCTACCAAACAGTTGATGAACTAAGATCAATTCCTCTTAAAAATTTAAAGTTGAAGGGGACAGAGTATTTCTGAACTCATTTTGCAAGGCCAGCACTACCCTGATACCAAAGCCAAGCAAGGACACTACCCCCCACACGCAAAAAGAAGAAAAAAAGATACACACACACCAGTAAGCCAAAGTCAACAGCACATTAAACAGCCATTCACCGAAATCAAGTGAGATTTATCCATGAGGTGGAAGGATGGTTCGACCTATATAAGAATCGATGAATGTGATATGCAGAATTAACAGAATGAAGGATGGAAACCATATGATCACCTCAATGGATGCTTTAAAAGCATTTGAGGCCGGGCGCTGTGGCTCACGCCTGTAATCCTAGCTCTTGGGAGGCCGAGGCGGGCGGATTGCTCGAGGTCAGGAGTTCAAAACCAGCCTGAGCAAGAGCGAGACCCCGTCTCTACTGTAAATAGAAAGAAATTAATTGCCAACTGATATATATATAAAAATTAGCCGGCATGGTGGCGCATGCTGTAGTCCCAGCTACTCGGGGGCTGAGGCAGAAGGATCACTCAAGCCCAGGAGTTTGAGGTTGCTGTGAGCTAGGCTGACGCCACGGCACTCACTCTAGCCTGGACAACAAAGTGAGACTCTGTCTCAAAAAAAAAAAAAAAAAAAAAAAAAGCATTTGACAGGCCGGGCGTGGTGGCTCATGGCTATAATCCTAGCACTCTGGGAAGGCGAGGCAGGAGGATGGCTTGAGGTCAGGAGTTCAAAACCAGCCTGAGCAAGAGCGAGACCCCATCTCTACTATAAATAGAAAGAAATTAATTGACCAAAATATATACATAGAAAAAATTAGCTGGGCATGGTGGCACATGCCTGTAGTCCCAGCTACTCGGGAGGCTGAGGCAGCAGGATTGCTTGAGCCCAGGAGTTTGAGGTTGCTGTGAGCTAGTCCGACACCTCGGCACTCACTCTAGCCTCGGCAAGAAAGACTCTTTCTCTAAATAAATAAATGCATTGGCAAAATTTAATACCATTTTGTGATAAAACTCTCAACAAATTAGGCATAAAAGGAATGTATAATAAAGGCCATATATATGACAAGTCCACAGCTAGCATAATACTTCATGGCGAAAAACTAAAAGCTTTTCTATAAAGATCAGCAACAAAACAAGGATGCCCTCTCACCACTTCTATTCGACATAAAAGTCCTAATTGTCAGAGCAATTATCAAGAGAAAGAAATAAGATGCATCCAAATCAGATAGGTGTCAGTTTGCAGACATTATCTTATTCATACATACAGAAAACAAAAAGGATTCCACAAAAAACTGTCAAAATGAATGACTTCAATAAAGTTGCAGGACACAAGAAAAACACAAGTCAGTAGGTTTTCTATACACTTACTGAAATATCCAACAAAGAAAACAATCCCATTTATAATAGCATCAGAAATTTTAGAAAAGCTTAGCAATAAATTTAACCAAAGAGTTCAATGATCTACACACAGAAATCTAAGACACTGCTGAAAGAAATTGAAGATGCAAATGAAAAGATATAGTATATTCACAGATAGAAGAATTTTGTTAAGATGTCCATACTCCCCAAAGTGATCTGCAGATGCAATGCAATCCCTAACAAAATTCTGATAACATTCCTTACAGAAATAGGACAAAATCTCAGAGTTTATGTGGAACCACAGAAGACCCCAAATAGCCAAAGTAATCCAGGGCAAAAACAAAGGTGAAAAGTATCAAACTACTCGATCTCAAGTCTTCTACAAAGCTATAATAATCAAAACAGTATCAGCCTGGCACGGTGGCTCATGTCTGTAATCCTACCACTCTGGGAGGCCAAGGCTGGTGGATCATTTGAGCTCAGGAGTTCAAGACCAGCCTGAGCAAGAGTGAGACCCTGTCTCTACTAAAAATAGAAAGAAATTAGCAACTAAAAATATATAGAAAAAATTAGCCGGGCATGGTGGTGCACACCTGTAGTCCCAGCTACTTGGAAAACTGAGGCAGGAGGATCGCTTGAGCCCAGGAGTTTGAGAGGTTGCTGTGAGCTAGGCTGATGCCACAGCACTCTAGCCCAGGCAACAGAGAGAGACTGTCTCCAAAACAAAACAAAACAAAAAAAAAAAACAAAACAGTATGGTACTGGTATGAAAACAGACTAATGCAACAGAATAGAGAACTCAGAAATAAATCTATGAATTTACAGTCAACTAATGGTCAAGAAAAACATCAAGAAGACACCATAGCCAGGCGTGGTGGCTCACGCCCGTAATCCTAACACTCTGGGAGGCTGAGGCGGGCGGATTGCTGCAGGTCAGGAGTTCGAAACCAGCCTGAGCAAGAGCAAGACCCCGTCTCTACTACAAATAGAAAGAAATTAATTGGCCAACTGATATATATATAAAAAAAATTAGCCGGGCATGGTGGTGCACATGCCTGTAGTCCCAGCTACCCGGGAGGCTGAGGCAGAAGGATCATTCGAGCCCAGGAGTTTGAGGTTGCTGTGAGCTAGGCTGACGCCACGGCACTCACTCTAGCCTGGGCAACAAAGCGAGACTCTGTCTCAAAAAAAAAAAAAAAAAAAAATTTTTTTAAAAAAAAAAAAAAAAAAAAAGTAAAATTCTGTTCAAGAAAAAAACAGAGTAAAGAGACCTACAGAATGGGAGAAAATACTTACAAACCATGCATCTGATAAGGGGTTAATATCCAAAATATGTAAGGAATTCAAATAACTCAACAGTAAGAAAATAACCAGATTTTTTTAAAGGGGGGAAAGAATTGAATGGGCATTTCTCAAAAGACACAAATGGCCAAGAGGTATATGAAAAACTGCTCAGCATCAGTAATCATCAGGAAATGCAAATCAAAATCACAATGAACTTATTATCTCACACCTGTTAGGATAGCTATTACTAGAAGGATGAGCAATTATGAGTATTTTTTAGGATAGGAATAATAGAAACTTTGGACATGTTGGTGGGAAATGTAAATTAGTACAGTCATGATGGGAAATGGCATGGTAGTTCCTCAAAAAGTTAATAGAACTAGCAATCCCACTGCTGGTATATATATCTAAAAAAGGTGAAATCACTATGTTTAAGAGATATCTGCTCTCCCACGTTTACTGCAACTCTATCCACAATAGCCAAGATAATGGAATCAACCTCAGTGTGCATCAACAGATGGATGGATAACGAAAATGTAGTATATACAGACACAATGGAATACTGTTCAAACATAAGGAAATCAGCCAGGCGTGGTGGGTCACACCTGTGATCCTAGCACTCTGGGAGGCTGAGTCAGGTGGCTTGCTCAAGGTCAGGAGTTTGAGACTAGCCTGAGCAAGAGTGAGACCCCCGTCTCTACTAAAAATAGAAAGAAATTAGCTGGACAACTAAAAATATATATAGAAAAAATTAGCCAGGCATGGTGGCATGTGCCTGTAGTCCCAACTACTCGGGAGGCTGAGGCAGGAGGATTGCTTGAGCCCAGGAGTTTGAGGTTGCTGTGAGCTAGGCTAACTCCACGGCACTCTAGCCTGGGCAACAGAGCCAGACTCTGTCTCAAAAAAATAAAAAATAAAAGAAGGAAATCCAGTCATTTGGGACAATATGGATAAGTCTGGAGGACATTATGTTAAGTGATATAAGCCAGGAATGAAAACAATATATTGCATGATCTCACTTATATGTATAATCTCACTAATATGTGGAACCAAACTCAGAGAAGTAGGAGTAGCAGCATGGTGGTTACCAGGGCTGGAGACGAAGGGTGGAGGATTGGAGAAATGTTGGTCAAGGATACAAAATGCAGTTAAATAGGAATAAGCTTTGGAAATCTATTGCACAGCAAGGTGATCATGCTCAATAGTATATTGTATACTTCCAAATTGCCACTTAGTATATTGTACAGTATATCCAATTCGGTACCAGTAGGGGGATGGACATGCTTGAAGCTCTGACTCTGGGGGAAGAAGGGGGAGGAAGGCAACACACGTAACCTAAACATTTGTACCCCCATAATATGTTGAAATAAAAAAAAAATTGGTACCAGCAAGTCTCAAATGTTTCACTGGGCACTGTGGCTCACACCTATAATCCTAGCACTCTGGGAGGCCGAGGCATGAAGATAGCTTAAGAACAGGAGTTCAAGACCAGCGTGAGCAACAGCAAGACCCTATCTCTACTAAAAATAGAAAAAAGAAAAAAAAAGTGGCTCAAATGTTCACAGCAAAATAGGTATGGGAAACAATTGGATATGTTAATTACCTTGATCTAATCATTCTATAATGAGTATATATGTCACATTGTGCCCTATAGATCTATGCAGGTATTTGTCAATTAAAAATAAACTTTAAGTCGGGCGTGATGGCTCACGCCTGTAATCCTAGCACTCTGAGAGGCAGAGGCAGGTGGATTGCTCAAGGTCAAGAGTTCAAAACCAACCTGAGTGAGATCCCATCTCTACTAAAAATAGAAATTAATTGAACTAAAATATATATATACAAAAAATTAGCCGGGCATGGTGGCCATGCCTGTAGTCCCAGCTACTTGGGAGGCTGAGGCAGGAGGATCGCTTGAGCCCAGGAGTTTGAGGTTGCTGTGAGCTAGGCTGATGCCATGGCACTCATTCTAGCCTGGGCAACAAAGCGAGACCCTGTTTCAAAAAAAAAAAAAAAAAAAGATAAAAAATAAATAAATAAACTTTAAAAAAATCATAACCTTAATACATCCAAAAGCAAAGACAACTTAGGCCTTCCGTAAGTTCAGAGACTCTGCTACTTGCTTTTAAAAAGCCACCCATCAAAAGTGTTACAGCTGCGAAAAAAAAA